TATAGATATGATTCATCTGATAGGACCAAAACCCATCTGTCAGCCGTTGCAAGTAAGAGCGTATACTGAAGAGAAGATGAGAAATCCACATGCAATGTCAAAAGTTTATGAAAACTATGTTTCTCATCGAGCGTTATAAAATGTGGAACAAGAATTACTTGAAAAAGTTTACGAACATTTCAAGATGAATGTTCTTAAAGCGGAAGATAGATTGAATGAATTCGTCAATTAACAATGTATTCGGAATGATGGATAAGTGTGTGGGAGAGTGAAGGGAGCAGCTAAACTCACCCTTTGGCTTTACCAGTCTAGGCACATCTGTGGAATAACTTCTTCCGTCGCTGTTCACCCTATGTGTCCTGTCAAATGTAGAATTTTGTTTAATTATTTGAATCTTTTACACACCAAAAAAATTTTTTCATTTCTCAATCTAGGAACACTGTCAAAATCGAACAAACTCAAATTAAAAATAATTGCATATCTGCTGATCATAGGAATTAATGTTCATGCCTAGCTTAATCAGTTGTCTTTTCCATCAATTGACGTCACCATTTTGCTGCTACGTGGATTTGTTCGTACAGCATTCAATCTACTCAATTGTTGACTGTTGGCATCAAAGTTGTCTGAACTGAGCCACCGTTGTATTTCCTGTTTGACTTGTGATCATTCATCGTCCACAACACTAAATCATGCCATATCTGCCGAGCGACCTTTGCAGACCGTCATTTTGAGCCACGTTCCTTCAAATTGGAAACCTAGTCGTAAAGCTACTCAATAGGATTTTGTATTCAGAGGATTGCAACTCCACGTCATTTCTCTGTAGCCAAGTGTGTCAAAGGTGTATTTCATTAACAAAAAGCGTTCCTCTGTGACTTGTCGAGTGCGTGCTAATTGTTGGCTGAAATTGACGTGACCAATCTCAAGAGCTTCATTTTCTTCATCAATTCTGAAATAACTAATAAATCCTACAGCCATCTCATTCACAATGATGTTGTATACCGCCGTACTGCTACTAGGTTGCTGCAATGAATGTAGAAATTGTTTGAATTGATCGACTGTTTCGAATGGTCCGTATTCAAAGTAGATGAAATGGGTCTGTTCTGTTGGTTTGAATGCTTCATAAAGTTGCTGAATCATGATACTACTGCTGGCAGAAGTAAGCAGCTCAAGTCGACAGTATTGACCTTGAAGTATGTGGTATTCAGGGTTCGAACTTGGATTAGCACGCGGTGCCCAATTGGGAATAATATTACCGACAGATTGATCAGTTGTAGAAGCAGCACTAACATTCATGGGTACTTTTTGTGTGATATTTTCCTTATTTACAGATGTTGTTCAAACTAACTTTCTGTAGCGAAAAAAATTTTTCAGAAGTTTTGATTATTCTCTCGAATATGTTTCTATTTCATAATAGTAAAAGTTTCTCAAAAATAGTTCAATGAACTATATATACGAAAAATTCGCATACTTCCCTAGCGTGTTGATTTTGTTTTGGTGGCATTTATGCTTAATACTAAAACAGCTACCATTACAGACGAACGGCTCTCTAATTGTCGAAAAAATGTTGTTTACTCTCAGTGAATTAAAACAAATTGTCATTGCTTCCGAAAAATGATTGCTCTTCTTTGGTAACCCCTTCCCAGTCTGAATTGCCTCACGCCAGCCCTGAGTAATATACCATCTAATTGAACGTGAATAGGTCAGTTGGATTTAGTAGGTGTGCATCCAGGTGACAACAAGATACTCACTTATACATCTTTATTCACTCTCAAAGTTTTCTCAGATTTGGTTGAGCTAGTAACATGTTATTTTAACTAAAATTTTGATTACTTCTCGAATTTCATCAACAAATGTCTTCAACGCATTAAGCTTTCTGATAGATGATTATATAAGCGTGCGACTTTGTTTGTAGTTGTGTGAATGTGAGGATGGGTGAAGATATCAGTAAAAATCTTCTCCTTACCCACGTCCTCAATGATTCATCACCTTTCAAAGTTGTGTTTTGCGCCGAAAACATTACTGTTCGCAGTAAATAACAATGCAAGAAAATATTTCTGTATTACGTTGTATTCATGTGGACCAATAAGAAAAGTCCGTTTCTTTGTTTTAATATTCGACAACAGACTTATCTGGTGAAAGATAAAATATAAGATGTAACAGCGCATCTTTTTTCTCTACTTTTCTACTATTCAGATGCTGTTCGATAGCTGAACAAATATAAAGAAATCACTTTCATATTGCTCTCAACGAATTTTTTTTGTGCGTCGATGTTATTCAATCGAAAATCAACATAGTGAGCATGACGAATCAAGCCTGCAGCGTAATACTGATTGTATTCGTGTTCATTATACATTAAACACTCATGTTATTTTTAAAAGTATAATAAAACTTCACTTTCTATTATCTCATTACAGTAAATATTAGAAAATTGCACGAAAAATCATTGTGAGATTCATAGTGATGACAACAAAAAAAAACAATTCTAGATACTCAACCCGTCTTACCCCAGAATAAATTCGTTTGTATAATATATTGCAAGTTGTCAATAGGGTGTGGGTGTGAGTCTAGGTCTTCTCTTCAAGCATGCTGGTCAATCCACAGTCACATCCTACCCATATTATACATCTTAATAAGGTATAGACAAAAGTTCTCAGAAATTTTTTTCCATGTATTATAGATGAAGCTTTACTTAGAGTGATGAGCATAAATGTAGACCTAAAACCATAAATCTTGCCTTTCAAAGGTACAAATAGTATTTTTCAGATCAAAAATGTAGAAAAGAACCATACATGTAGAAAATTTTGAAAAGTGTCTAAATACATCATATAGGCGCTTATTATGTGTTTGATAGCTGAAAACCGAGATTTCCTCTGTATTTTATTTTTTTATTCATAGTCTCTATATTTATAGTCTCTTGTACGATATATAGAGTTTTATGACTATTTGTTACCTACACACCATGTTCTTAGTAGTAGAACCGTAAGTGTAAAGGATCGTAGTCATATACATAGAAGGGTATATAAAAAAATGGTGATTTTTTTCTAGTTAGATATTGCCACTACGTTTACTGAAATATTGTAAAATAAAAAAACAGAATCTTAATAAAACTTTCTATCATTTTTTAGTGATGACATAAATATTTAAACAAATGTTTAAGGTAAGAAAAGACTTTTCCAAGTCGACAATTTCATTGGCATTCGTTTCATTTGGTATTGTTCATCCTAGCTCCAAAAATAGAAAAATACAGTTCATTGTGAGTTGATCAATTCTCTTTTCACGATAGATATGTCTATGTAATGAACATTTCATTATATAATAAGTAAAATCCTTAAATGGTTCTTTCAATATTCATGAAAGAACAAAAAAAAATATTCAAGTAAATACTGTTGCTCTTTTTTCATCTTTACCTTCTATTGTTATTTCTCTCTGTTATGCTCCAAGCCCATGTATCTTTTTTTTTTTGAGAAAAAATCTCGAACTTGTTTCTGAATCATGTACAAGGCTGTATCTCATATTATTCTTTATTTCAAATATCTAGAGAAAAAATTGTATCTATACATAAAAAACTTCAACATTTATTCCAAAGAACATTTCACTGACACTTATAAATTAAATATTTGAACAATCTGCATGCTAGAAATTTAATTATTTTACAGAGACTCAGATATGACAATTATTTGATAATTTTACACTAAATTATACTACATTAGTAGCAAGTTCAAAAATTCACTTCTATTCTGTTACTCAATTACCAATACAAATGTTGATCATAATATTAAGCGAATAACTAATCCATATTAACGCTAGAATTATTACTAAAGTGCATATTCATGTATTTCAGCAAAGGATTTAGAACGATTCGAAAGATGATTACTTAAAAATCTCAATATTCACTATATTCTTTATCTTGACTGATTGATTTCAACCATGTCGGGTCTATTCACTATTCGAACTCGAGTGCAATCATGTCTCGATAGTTTGACTAGTTATTCGAAAGTCAATTATAATACTTGTTTGTAACGCTGTTGAACACTTATCTCAAGAGTGATATGTTCGAACGTCGATATTACAACAAATTACATACTATACTGTGACAAATAGCCTTATTATTCAGTGTTTTGAATCAGCACAGTCTCAATGTAGCTACGCTATCTATAAATTACTGAAGGTTAATAGAAATGAAATATTTGTCTCATTAATGGACGTTTCTTTTCATCCAACAGACAGTTCTTATTTTAATTACGTGCTATTCAATGATCATTCTTGTAAAAGTGATGTTCGTTCGAGGATAAACGACAGGTTGCAATTTTTTTTTCAAGTAACTTGTTGGATACACACTATAGACCAAAGTTTTCGATTATTTAAAAGAGTATAGTCAGGCTGATTTATCGATGTAAGCACAGTCAGGTTTAAAGAGTCTTTTCATAACCATTTTATGGCTGATATATATTTGTCTTTGACTAGCGTTTGTACGTTTTTACACTAATCTCGACTTAAGTTATAATAAAACTTAGCTAAAATCAACAAACAAGAGGTACCTAATTAAAACAGGGATGAAAGAAATTATGAGAGAACTAATAATTTTATGACGAATTCCAAGTTGCTTTCAGCTATATATTAATATGGCACCATTGCGATAAACGTGAAAGTTTCTGAAAAATAGGTCAAGAAAGATAAATCAGCTCAAAAATGTTTATGGGAAAATCTCTTTGAACCTGGTGGTTTATGTATATATATTCCAGATGACATGTCGAATGATGAGAGCCGTAGATTTGTACTTTTTAACTTACGAAAATTTGCTTGAAACTATCTAAGAACACAATGTTTATGTTTAAATGAAAGTAAAGTTTTATTTAAAGCTAACCAGAGATAAAATACGTAGGAAACACATCGAATGTGACTAGGAAAATATATTTGACATAAAAAAAAGGAAAAGAGAAATGTTTTTAGTAATAAATGATCTTTGCATATTTGTCCCAAGAGTCCATTTATTTAACAATTTATTTGGTTTTCTTCATACGACGTAATTGAATATAGGTTAAAATCAGAAAGCCCAACATAATACCACCTAATGCTATAAAATTTTTCCATAGATCCCATTCGGATGAATAATCAATTTTTTGATCTTTCAAAATTTTTCTACCATCAACCGGACAAATATCTGTATTATTGGGCAAACAAAGTTGTAAACCACTAAATTCATTGATACTAAATATATTTGTTGAATATCGAAATATACTAATCCATTTGATCCATGAAAGAAATATTACAACAGATTCGATTTCAACTAGATAACCACTAAATACTAATGTTAATACACAAAACATAGCTGCAACCACATTGGCCACGCCTAAATAAATAATTGATAAATACAATCTAATTTTAGACAAGAAAGAATTTTTACCGAACACTTGCACACTGGCCGAAATGACAAAACATAAGGACGATGAACAGAGTGTGGTAGTCAAGATACCGAAAAAGAAGATAAAATATTTTGTAAATGTTTGTTGAAAACCAATCATAAAATAGGCAATCACCGAGAAAAGAACTGATGGAATGGTTCGTAGTGGAATAATATCACAAATCAATTTCGATATGAAATAAGTAGATACATGATAATAACCACTGGCATTTTCATGTTGAAATAAATTGCGTTCTTTGATAAAGACATCAAGTGCTGATAGACTGCCGAATACTTGATTGGTGACAATAAAAAAAATAGCACCAATACGGTTTTTTAATCCACTATCTAATGAACGATCGGTATTCATGTAGATCAAACCGATAAGTACACCTAGAAAAATTGACATAGCTGTTTGCATGCCAACAAGTGCTGGATTTCTAAATGCATTTCTAAATGTTCGTTGTGATACATAGAAAATTTCCTGTAGACGTGATTTTTTCGGCAATTGAGGTGTATCAATCGTAACTACTGGTGAACCATTGGTAAAATTATTCATACCATCAATTTGTTTTTTAATTGCAATATAAACCGATGATTGAACATAGAATTTATATAGGTCATGAGCAAATTGGCTTTTTTGTTTTTCTGGTTCGATCTCATTAGAGTATTCGATTGATGACAATACTGATCGATAATCGCCTTGACATATATCGAGAATGAAATCAGCAGGATTATCATGTTCTTCACAAGTGAAGCCGATAGATATGAAAAATGGAAGAACATCACTAGTTGGACCATGATAAATACAATGACCGGCAGCAATCACGAAAAGAGTATCGAACAATTTGAATATCGAATAACGAGGCTGATGAATCGAGAAAATTATTGTACCTTTTTGAAAGACAACAGAAAGAAACATGAGATTATAAACAAATAAGAAACATACGGCCTGATCTTGATAATTGATGAAGATGTTCCATGATATTACGAGCTGTTGATGAATCCAACCCTGAAAATATTCATATATGAAATTCAATTGAATTATATCGATATGTTAGTGCAAAAAATATAGTAGAACAAACAAACAAACATCAAGTCTTCTTTCACACTACAAACATTTCACATTCACTTAACATTGTTTCATCGTTCAAATTAGTGAATTTTCGAGAAAAATTTTAACCAAAGAATTAATTTTTTTTTTCGTTTTTTAACGTTTTCTGTCAGCTTATTCGAAAATAGTTTGCTTGTAACTTATCATTCCATAGAATCTTCAATCAATTCTTTTATCTTTGAAACGTACTAACTACAAGCCTATGTGGCATTCTATCGAAAGACAATCTTGCATTATGTACCTGTTGTTGGTTCATCTAAAAAGAGAACATTAGGCGAAAGAACTAGCTCCATGCCAATATTTGTTCGTTTGCGTTCACCACCAGATACACCACGTTGAAATTCGTTGCCTACATTCGAATCAGCACATTTTTCCAAATCTAATTGTCGTATGACTTCATCAATAATTGATTTCTTGGCTTTAGTCGAAACATTTTGAGGTAATCGAACATTAGCCGAAAATGCCAAGTTTTCTCGCACCGTCAAAGTGCCACTCAGAATATCATCTTGAACAACATATCCGACTCGATATTTGAAATCAGATCCTTGCGGTTGTCCATCCATGAGAACTTGTCCTGTGAGACCTTGTCGATCTTTTCGATCAGCCAAAATATCCAATAGAGATGATTTACCACTGCCCGTCTGTCCTAGAATAGCATTCATACCAGGCTTAAAGACTCCGTTGAGATCATAGAGAATTTGTTGTTGTTTCTTCTTTAAACATGGCATTGGCAGGATATTGCAGCATTGTTGTGATCTTAACGTATAATTTATCGAATGAAAACTTATGATCGAACCATGATTGTGTTCACCATTGTCGGTAGTTAATTTGGTTAGCATTTGACCGTTTTCCACATCCATGACCAATGGTTGACTGTTCGAAACTGTAAAGAAAGAAATGAAATTAAAAATAATTGACATTTATATTGTTAATAAAAAACAAGAGATCAATATCACCTATTGCTAATCAATTTCTCAATCATGCTCATTTAGGGTTACAAGCGAGCATGAACTTTAATCGTTTAGATCGAGTTTCATCGATTCTATTGTTCGTTGATTTTGATAAAAAAAAAATAGATGTCCTGAATTTTACTAATGTTTCTGCTGCTATTTATTCTAACTAGTCACAGTAGTTAATAATACCCGGAACAAGCAGTCATCACTTTGCTGTGTCATACAAAATCAATTGAATCGTTTGACAACTTCGATGAAATTTTTTTCGTCAACGAAACTAGTGTGTTATGAACAATGAGATTTTTATATTTTCGACACCTTAACTTTCATGTATGGTCAATATACGAAACGTTTATTGATTAAGTAACGAATGTAATACACGTTTTGTTCGGATAAATATGATTAGATTCTCTTTAGAAAGTATGATAATCATTCACATTAATAAAAATCGTATGTTTCTCTCGTGAAAAAAGAAAAACTCAATGACTCATTACTCATATCCAGTAGGAAATGTGCATTATTCTATTATAAAATTAGAAAGACAATATTCTAGAAAGAAAACACATAGGAAAACTTCTTTAGAGAGAAACTGTTAATCAATTTTTTTTGCCTTTTCTCATTCTATTATGTACTGAAAGTGATTATCGATCAAACGAGAAATGATTCCATCGTTCAATGCGTTATAGAATCAGCGACGCGAACAATATGATTTGTGTGGTATACGATGGAAGCAAAGAACAGAAAAAAAAACAAGGAATAACATGGGGTTCTAAGTTGAAAACAAAAGATGTCCTTGTAGGCAAAAATCTCATTTCCTAAAACTAAAACGAGAACCGATTCAAATGAGACGATAAAGTCTTTCTTTCAATCTTTCAAAGAGAAAGTTTAAATTGCAACTAAAAAATAAATTTCAACAGAAGTTGCAGTTTTTTCTCGCTGCCTATTTAATAAGTAAATAGATTGACAGTTCGTTAAATCGTTTTTAGAATTGTTCTTCAATGAAAACAATTTTCGATGAGCAAAACATTTTAAATTCATGTTCATACTATTGTCACAGCAATAGATCAGATTTTTATTTATTTAAGTTCTAAAAATGAAAATTATCATCATTCATATTTTCTGAACTCTTTTTCTACTTTTGAGTTCATTGTTAAATAGTATTGTATAGCATCGAAGAGTAAAACCAGCATATGTATGATTTGGAGTGTTCACACGACGAGTTCAAGATCTGTTTATTTTATTTTTATTAAGTTAAAAACTCTGCAAATAGAACGGATTCAAATATCTTGTTGACGATCATACCACAAACATTTTTGAGAGAATAAAGACCTTTAGGATGACAATCAAATAAAGAATAAAAACAACTCTTTCAAATAGATGCTTTACTAATGTAGTCGGTTGCCAAATCGATCAGAAAAAAATTGAATATCCTTTAAATACTAAGAAATATTTCAACAAAATTTCTACGTGGTCAAAAACTTGCATGATTGCACAACTTCGTATACGATATAAGTTAACAAAAGTACCAGTGTAATTCTAGAAAAAAATAACAGTCTTCCATGTTGTACAATTGCTTCATCTAGTTTGAGCTTCAAACATTTAAGACAATTAAATTTTCTGCTATTTCTCATTTTCTTGCTAGCATCTTTGACAATCTAACGTTTAATATTTAAGACTTCAATCTGAATTTAGTTGTTTTCTTCTAAATAAATTTCTATTTTTCTATGAACATACAACAACGATAATATCAGGCAAAGTAATATTAGTGTATGGGATCTTAATAGTATAGATAACTCAACAAGATTAAAATCGCTACATATGAAAATCAAAGTCACTTATACTCGAAATAATGTGGTCGTTAGGTCACGAAATATCTTAGTAGGATGGCATGAGATATATCTATACATCTTAAAAAATATTAGACGAGTGTAAGTCTATCTCAAAAGACTAGCCATGTTGAGTTGTATGTCCAGTAAAAATTTCAATGAGAAACATCAAAACCTCGAAGCATGTTGGTAGAAACACGAATACCATCGAGTTAGATCAGTAATATACCGTACGACAGTCCTATTCGGTGTTTTTCATCATATCTCAACAAAGAAAAGACACTCTTTGAGCTTTTCTTGTAGCTCTGATAATTTTCTGTAATACAATATAGTTATTGATTTTGTAAAAGTCTGCCATCTTCGAAATACTCAAAGCGACATTTTTTTAATAACAGTACAATAGAATATAATAAATGAAATTATTGTAGTTTGTCTTTCAAAAATCAGTAATCCAGATACATCAAAGGAACTTTCTGACCGTTTTGTATGAAACTAATTCATCAAATTTATCTCTTTGATTATACATCTTCTGAAACAGCATTAGGATCGGACCGGTGATTGTCTTGATTGACGTGTTATATCCTATTACATGTTCAATATCCGATGCAAAAATGAACGTTTTTTTTCCTGCCAGATAGTAATCATTCTTGCAATATTCATGACCTATAGAACCACCACAGCAATTTTTCAACAGGAGCTATTTCAGCATTTAAGTGAAGTTCATGAGAAAGCATAATGCGTTCGATCGTATCTTGGTAATACTTTCCAATGTTTGCGACTTGTCAATATTTGTCGTTGCTAGTTCTTCTTTAGTCAATACAGAGAGCATGAATCAAAAAAATAATTAGGTTTCAACATGTGGCATGGATGTTTAGCACTTAACAAACCTTAGAGAGGCAATGAAAAGATCTGTTCATACAAATATTGACTATGGAGGGTAGTGTTGACGAAATTCAAACTGCTAGAAGAAATGATCGATATATTTCGTAGTACTAATACGTTGTCAATGAAAATTATGATGAACATTGTTTTATTTAAAAAAAAAAAGAACTTTAGTCGAAGTAATTTTTTTTCTTTCCTAATCGATTTTTTTTGTCTTTTGCTTCATCTAATTATTAAAAATTACAACTGATATTGTATTAGTGTTTATTTACTGTCAGAATTAGGTAAAGACGTGTATGATAAGAAAGATTTGATGATTGATTGATGAAATAGCTATTAAAATAAGCCGAAATTATTTTTTAACTGTTTATTTAGAAACAAAAATATAGTCTATGAGCATCACAGGGTTTCATTTTGGACTAAAAGAGTACACATTGGGGATAAAAAAGTTATGAAAAATAAATCAGTTAGGATGAAAAATGTAATGATGATCATAGCAAATGGCAATCGATAAATAAAATCATAAAAATCGACTAGTATGCATTTCAATGACGAGCATTCATTTGCAAAGATTAAATAATTCACTTGAATGATTTTTTCACACTTGATACCCTCTATTTGAATAAAAACAAATAATCATTTTTTTTCCTTTCAAACAAAAAAATAAGTCTTACGATGGTCTGTATTCTATTTAATGATGTTAAATGATTCAATGTCGCTGGTTCATAACGAGAAACAAGATTAATTGGTATATTATCTGGTCGTAGAGGAAGAAGTTTCTCAGTAGTTGATGATGAATTTTCGTGATTAGATGATGTTTCGTCTGCTTTTTTTTCGTTTCCTGGCATTGCTAGAGAACGCGTTGTTAAACAATTTGATTTATCAACTAATTCAGCAGAACTTTGTTTACCACCGCCCGTAGCTAATCGTTGGCGTTGTTGCTGATATTGTTCACTAATACGTTTTGGATTCTATTTAGTCAATAAAACAACAAAAAAAAAAGGAGAAAATCATAATGATTATTGTTTGAATAACATAAATTACGGATGTTTGAATGGGTGGTTGTATTGCTCGTATATCAAGAATAGAACGATTTTGTAAATTAATTACGGTTGATGATTTTGGTCGTCCTTGAGATCGAGGTATACCTAAGAAACGTTCGTTTACTTTAAAATAGAATGTGACAATCATTATTTATGTTTTTTTTTTCGTTTTCTCTAATCAACACTTACAATGTGTAGAAACTCGATTGGTGACATAATTATTAATTTGTTGGCGTCCATCATCACTTTGATTTCCTGTTGTTATTCGACTTATATCTAACTCACCTTCAGTATCAATAATAACTTCAACAGAATTATCCTGTAGAAAACAAAAATTTTCTTTATAAAAGATAAATTATGAAATATTTTCATACTTCATCAATGCGAGAAGTTGATGCTAATAATGGATACATAGTTGTTGAAAGACTTGTTGCATTTGGAACTGATTCACGTTCAATACCTTCAAAAAATGCATCACAAAAAGATAAATAGAACATGATTTCATTTAATTATTATTTCATTATTTAGAAATTCAAATCATCAAAGGTTAATATATGAGTTCTAAAGAGATGTTTAATTTTTTATAAACAATAAGTAACTAAATATAAATGTGAGAGTCTTGTAAATACAATCGATTTATAGATTAAAAAAAAAGGTAAATACACTCAAACTGCACACCTCGAACATATTGTATTGGAAATAAAGCTGAAAATATATACGTATATAAGAAAATATTTTAATAATGAAATAGAGAAAAAAAATATATGCCAATGTTGTTGTTTTAATTTTAAATTACTTACTATTAAGTCGTCGAAGCAAATAAGTAGCAGTAAAAGCATCCCGAGGCTCGTTAACTAAACGAATTTCATTTGTTATATTGGTTTGACACGAGGACATAGAAGAATAGCGAAGTGCATATTCTAGAATTAACATGAAATTATGGTTAGTAGGATACTTGAGATGAATATTTCTTTGAAGGTTTATCCATCTTTAAAAAGAAAACCTCAAGTACCTGGTTCACATGCCTTTTTTGTTGATGATTGCTGTGATGGAAAAAGAGAAGAAGATGTTAGTAAGATATCATCATCTGAAAGCGGTCGAGATAATTGACGCTTTTCTTTCTTGTTAAGCGGCACATCACGAGTTAAAATTTTGTAATATTCAGCCTAGAAGAAGAAGAAGAAGCAAGCTATATATACACACACACACACAGAGAAAAAGATAGAAGTATTGAAAAAACAAATAAGAATGTTAAATATTAGATAATATTTTGCCCACCTCTTCCATAAATAGTATTGAAAATATGCTATAAATCAACATGAACAACAGATACCTAAAATACTCTTAATATTATAAATACCTGTGACCGTTGTGCCTTTTCATCAGATGGTGTCATTCGATTGGTTACATTATTTGTTCTTGATAATACTGGCCATCGACTTGGTCGATTATTCGTTTCATTCGATCCATCATATCGTATGGAATCACTATTATTATCAGGTCGTTGTATCGACGGTGGTGTTGGTTTACGTGTATCATCAACCTAATAAATACAAAGAAAATTCATATCAATTGAATGATAAAAATCATTAAAGAAGACGAAGAAATATAGCAATCATTCAAAGTAAATCAAAAAGAATATCAAACAAATTAGATAAGTAGCAAATATTTCTATAGAATCCGGAAAGTAAATATCATGCATTTAATTCAAAATACTATGATAAGAACAAAGACAAAGGAGCAAAGAATCTAGCATTCATTTTCAAAATATTCATAGATATTTAAATAGTACCAATGATGTTTCCATGCGGGAAGGTCGAGCATTGAAACATGCATAACATTGACAAACAAGATAACTATCAGACCCACGACGTTTTCTTCGTCGTCGTCTTTTTTCAATCATGGTCTGAAAAGTTTTAATTATCGAATATTCATTGAGAAACAATGATAGCGATGTGTTAGATACTTACCTGGTCTAAACTATCATTATTATCAGTTGTTAGAGTACTAGTTTCTAATAAAGTCTTGACAATGAAAAGAAAAGAAAGATTGTACGAAATAGATCTCATAATGAATTATGGTAGTAAGATTAAACAAAAAAAATATTAGATATGTTAAAGTTAGAATGACAAAAACTTACAATGGTTGGAAAGCGGGTATTACGAGATTTGGATAAGGGTAAACCAACAGTTTTGTTCTGATTACAAATACAACATTAAATAACTATTGACAACATTTTTATGCATATCTATATATATTTACCTTGTCAATATTTTCTTTATCAATTTCATCTTTTCTTTTTGATTCTTTTGATGCTTTTGTAGTTGATTTTTTCTTTCGAGTTTTTTTCAATTGAATCTTAGAATTATATGATTAATTTTATTAATTAGATTTCTTCTATAGCTAAATTTACTTTAGCAGCAGCAATAACTTCTAAATGTTTTGGTAGACCATCATCAATTGATGAATCTGATCCTCCATCATCACTAAAATAAATATTCGATTTATAATTAAGTTTTTCTTTTTATTTTTGATACCTTGAGTCATCTTCAGATGACCATTGATCTAAATCAATATCATCTAATGATGTTGCATTAATACCACGTGAAAGAAGTTTCATTTGAATTGTATGTCGTATAGTATCTTCTAATTCATGCAATATTCTATCACGCTAAAATATAAAATAACAACAATTATTGTCATCTATTTAAAACAAACAAAAATGACAAAACAACATCGAAAGAAAGGCTACAGGACAAACATAGGAGAAAGAAGAACATAGAGATCTATGTACTAAAATTATAAAAATTTCTTTTTCTTTTGTTATTCGACGTTGAAATTTATGATGATTTTGACTGATGTATATTCAAAGAATGATGCATTAATAAATTAATCGAAAAAGATAATTGTACAAAAACTTACTTTCGTATGATCTGGATCACAATAATCAAGTAAAGAATCAAGAAAATGATAACCAATAGATTCAAGATCTTCTGTAGTAAATTGATGACCTGTTCGATCCTGTTGTGTTGATCCACAAAAAGTAGCCTAAAATTTTATTATCAATGTAAAAATATATCATTTAGAATTAAATAATTATACTTCTAATGTATAACTATTCAAAATACCCATTGCCCACATCACTACACGTCCAGTTCCTTCTTTATTTTTTTGTACTTTAAATTTACATGAACAAAATGAGAACTGAAAAACAAAAAGCAAAAAATTTAAAGATTTCAAAAACAAAAAAAGAAAAATAATGAAATACAAACTTTAGCTGGATCATTTTTTGATAGCATTGCGGGAAAAATTCTTTCTTTTAATCGTTCATTTGGTAAATGTTTATTTTCACAACCATAAATAAAAACATTTTGTTTTCTTGAATGTCCATGAAAATCACAATACAAAATAAGTTCTGTTTCACTCATAAATCTATAAATATATAATATTGAATTTAATCTATATTAGGCATACATTGAATTCGAACATTCGAATTCAGTAAGTTTGGCTCAGATTTGCTCTCGACTGCTTATCATTTTCAGTCTATTAATTAAAGAAAATAGAACTCTAAAGAAAGGATTTCCAGCTTGGCTATAGTAGATCTACACACAATGAAATAAATGATCTAAAAACTGAAAGTCAGGATGTATTCTAGACAAAGTCAAGAATATTCAGAAATACTTGAGTTCGAACTTAATTGACTATTAGAATGCTTACATGGTAGCTTGTATATTTCAAGAAACGCTTGCATAACTAATCGACACTGTCTAAACTGATGGGAATAGTTTCCGTACTCGAACATCAAGCCAGAGTTCGAATCCAATGCATGCCTAATCTATATAAATATATGAATGTTCAAACCTTTTGATCATTTCTCTTGTATGCCAAATAGAAGGATAAGCATCTTTCAATATTGTTTTATAATTTCGATTTAAATCTCGACCCGATAATGAACAACGATAATTGCCAACAATAACACCATCGGGATTAAGCATTGGAATAATTTTAAAAATAAAATTATCTCGAAGAACCTAAATCATAAATAAAAAAACAACAATAAATTGATTCAAAAATTATTATTCATACTTTAGCATCAGCAGAATCACTAAGTAAAAAATCTAATAATCCTTTCATCATCCATGATGCATTTGTTTCACCAGGATGAACACGTGCTGTAACAACAACACCTTTTTTTATTTGTTGTTCAGGTGATGTAGATACATTTATAGAACTTATTGATGTTGTTGGACTTGTTATTGTAAGTAAATAAATAAAATTACCAGCTAATGTTCGACAAAGAACTTTTTGTTTACAATATTGACTTTTTATATGATCATTTTGAATATCATTTAAATAATCCTAATAATTAAAAAATTATAATAAAGAAAAATACATTATCTAATTACTTGTAAATCAGAATATGTATATGGATAACAATGAGCAAAATAATATGTATCATTATCATTTGGAAATTTACATGTCCAAGTAAGTGAATACATATTTGATGAGGGATTATCAGGTGTACTAAAAACACAAAAATAAATGATATTTTAAATAAAAAGACATATATATATATATAATATTCATACGGTAGATTATTTCTGTAATAGACTATTTCTTCACCCCATCGTCGCCACCCAATTCCTCTATTTTCTGCATCATTTACACTATACATCAAAGGTTTCATGCCACTACTATAAAGACTTGTAGGCTAAAGAATTTTGCAATTATAATCAATCAGAATAGAAATATAAATGATTACTTTAAAAAAATTAACAATAGTAAAACGATATCGTCTATTAGTTCGAATATTTTGTAAACGAAAATAAAACCATTGTGTATTACGTTTTGTATAAAGATCATATCGAAGATAGAGTTCATATTCAAATTCACCGCTATGAATAAAGAAACAGAATCAAATAAATTGTTTTAATTTATCTTACACTTGAACAGCTTTCATTAGATTTCCACTTTCAAAACGAGATTCAAATAATACAGTTGTATCTTCAGAATTTCGAATTGTTACAGCTGCTGGTCTACAACCTTCTCTATTACCACCGATTCGAGATCGAATAAACTATTTATTACAATATATATATATATATATATAAATACATACATATTTCAAAAGAAGAAAAAAAGTAAAATCAATCATATAACTTACATAACCACATGTTTCTGGACTATAATTAAATACAACACGACCATTATTCTCATCATAACTACGAACAAATGGCATATGACCAGTAGCTAAAATAGATCAATTACCGACCATAAAAAATTCTAAATAAAAATAACAAACTTGGTTTATAGAAAAGTTCGGGCTGTTGCGGTGGTACATTAATATGTTTAACACGTCCTTCGGTTAAAACTTCAATTTCAATGGGCCATCGTGGTTCAAATGAACCTTCATCATTTTGACCTCGTACATTTAAACTATATGAAAGACGAGTTTGTCGAACAGGCTAAACGAAAATAGAATGCCATAAATTAAAACTTAATATTCAAAGATTTTCCAAACGTACTATTCTTCGATCCGGAACAAATGGTTTGCCTTTATATTCTAAATAATTCATATTAGTATAATATCGATCAATTTGAAAAAAAAAACAAAAATTTCTTTTTTCATGTATCCCCCGATCTATATCATGCAATAATTAAAAGCTTTTTACTAATTTCAAAAAACTCAATGTTAAGATGATTAATAAACATTTTATAATTCATTTGATAACATATTGATGAAACATATACATCAATATATTATAGAAAAAAGAAGAGAAAAACCATCACTTCTATGTCTAATATAGACAACATGCAAGTTAAAAAAACCCACCAGAACTCTCCTGAGGAGATCGACGATCACTATGTACTGGAAGAAGAAAAAATATATATATATATATTTCACTTTTGGTGAATTTATTATAAAAAAAAGTGCTGAATAAATTAATTAAAAATGCTTTAAAAAAAAAACCTACTTGCTTGATCTTCATCACCAGAACTCGATTCAGAGTCGCTCGATGATGATATAAGTTGAGATTTTGAAGGAACAAAGCCATATTTTTTTATGATTTCACTTCGGCCTTGACAAATAAAGTAAGATCAACACTTCATTAAACAACACAAACTTTACCGGTAAAATAACCATAGTGTTGAAGATGTTTTCGCATAAAACTATCGTATGGGCTCTTTAAAAAAAACCAAGAAATAATATTAACAAGAAAATTTATAAAACTAAATATAATACTGATATAAGAGCATAGTTTGATTCACCCAATTCCATGACGTTGAAAATTAAAGATCGATGTCTTTTAATTAATTATTATTCCTATTATCCAAAAAACAGGAATATCGAAAGAAAAGAAAACAAGTCGAAGTTCAACAAAACAAAGAAAGAAAATCTATAGAAAAAAACTGGTCGTTTCTAAATAAAAAGTTTGATGCACAATTTCTTAACGCGTAATTCAGTAAAACATCAAGAATGCTTATTTTTAAAAGTGTTCCTTTTCGAGCGAAAAAAAACAAACTTTATTAAGAAGAAAAATTATTTTTTTTCTTAACAGAACAACAAATTTGACTTAAACTTTACTGTTTTTTTTTTTCTTTGGTGACAATATACCCTCTCTTTTGTTTATTTAATATTTTTTTTCTTTCATTAGCATAAGTTCGTTTTCGTTAAACAAAAGTTTCAAACATATTATATACCATCCTTTTATCCTAATGCGATAAACTAAAAACCTATCGATCAATATTAAAAATTAGTAGTGGATACAGAATTTTTACTTATGATGAGTTGAATCCACTCTAACACATTCAAAGTGTCATTTTAACATAGTTTTCAATATCATTCATGGTAGACTCGACACAAGTTTGATGATTCAAGTCTACTTTTGCTTTACCATTATTGAAAATTTGTAAGAAATAATAAGATAGATTTCTGTGGTTTTATCTGTTATTAGGATATCATACTTCATTCTTTGCATCTTCTTTTCCATAGTAACGAATGACCAATGAACGACAAACACATGAATATTAATCAACTATAATCTCTAATTTAAATGACAACAAACAATATATTGAAACATGAAATAATCTAATTGAAAACTCAAAAAAAAAAGTGTTCATAGAAGATAGTAGCGACATCATTATGAAACTTAATACGTTGAAAGTAGCGTTTACTTCTATGTACAATTTATACGAATATTCAGTTATTCGAGCAAGAAATCGATATATTTTAGTTTAACGACAAATTTTTCTATGACTAAACTAAATAAAGCAAGTGAACAAGTGCTCAATGAACTTCTCAATGATGTAAATATATTTTCATACGACAATAATCAAATCAAACTATATATATATATATAATCATGAGTTCTCATTTAACTTTATTTGAATAGGATGCTGATCTTGATGAATATGGTGAATGGACAGATGAAGCATTAGCTCGTGCTACATCCAATAAACCTATTGATGATGAAGACGAATATGGTCATGTTAAATTACGTAAACCAATTGATATGCAAACATTATGTTCAAGTAAAGGTCAAATATTAGAACTTGATCAAAATGAATTAGATCCAGCTGAATTAGCACGAATAGCAACACAAATGGCAATGAATGATGTTAAAGAAAATCAACAAACTAATACTGATCAATATATTAATAATGAACTTAAATCAACAATACCATCAAGAGATTTATTTAATCAACGATTAATTGATAATACACAAGATTTTGATGATCAAGTTTGATTGTTTTGTTTTTTGTATATTCACATTAATCATTATTGTTATTTGTCTTTAGCTTGGTGGTATGCAACATTTAATTAAAACTAATGGAGATGATGGTATACCATTAAATGGTGTACCAAGTAGTGAAGCTGCTGGTGGAATATGGAAACAAATTATTTATACTGGTGTTGGAGAAACACCACCACTTGGTTCAACTGTACGTATACATTATAATGCATATTTTGAACTTAATGATGAACCATATGATAGTACAGTAAGTTATTAATTCAATGAAATTTAAATTTATTCATTCATTTATTTATTTAGTATATACGACGTCGACCATGTGAATTTCAATTAGGAAAATTTAATGTTCTACCAGGTTTAGATCTAGCTGTTCGAACAATGCAAAGACGTGAACGAGCAAAATTTATTATGAGTAGTGATTTACTCTATGGTGAATATGGTCTGTATTTAATTTATGTTTGATTTATCATAAGTTTTATTGTTATTTTTTTCATATATCTAGGTTGTCCACCACGTATTCCACCAAAAGCATGGTCTTTATTTATTATTGAATTAATTTCATGGATTGATTGTACATTAGTTGAAAAATTAAATAAATTAAAAATTAGTGATGATGAATTAACAGAAGATTTTGATGAACGTATACGTATTGCACAAACATTACGTGATATGGGAAATGTAATATAAAAGTTTCAAGCAAAAAAAAAAAAAAATTTCATCAAAGATTTTATATTTAGGATGAATATGCTAAACATAATCTTGAACGAGCTATTCGTTATTATGCAAAAGGAAAACAATTTTTACTTAAAACTAAAACAACTAATGAAAATCAAACGATACAATATAAAGAACTTTTACTTAAACTTTATCTCAATTCAGGTAGAACGAAAAATAATTTAAATTGAAACAGATAAAAAATTTTGAAAGGTCATTTAAACATCGTAATCGTAGTTTCGGTTTGAATATTTTCATGCTAATACAGAAAAAAAATACTAACGCCTACCAGTGTCATCATAAAAGTTTTGTAAAGATTAAAGAAGTGCGGGACCAAATTTTTCATCTCCGTCTTCGTAAATCTAATCTAATGTCGACCTTAATGATTTTAGTTTTTTAAGTCCGTGTCTAAAGAAAACTTATTCCTATCGTACAGTTTAGAACAAATTTTCTTGTAGCTTCAGTTTCAATGAGTTGGTCCCACATATCTCTAGTGAAGATACTTGAAAAACGGCAACAGTAATTTTGACATACACCACAATATTGAGGAAAATAATTTTTCTACCCACACCAATGCAAACATTACTTTTTTGTTAAATATCTGTATGCAACTTTTATGATGAAAGTAGTTGGTTTTGGTATTTTCTGAATAGACATGAAAGTGTTCGGTCAGGAATCATGATTAGAGCATTTAAATGAATTTTTATAAACTCTTATATATTTGAGAATTCTTTAATTTAAAAAATTAATTTTATTTAAGCTCAATGTTATCTCAAATTACGAAATCATGAACGTACAATTAAAAATTGTAATGAAGTCTTGCAATTAGATCCTAAAAATATCAAAGCTTTATTTCGAATAAGTATTGCTTATCGTTCATTACATCAATTTGATCAAGCAAGACTTTATCTTAATACAGCAATCAATATTGAACCATATAATGCCGAAATAATTGATGAAGCTCAAAGACTTGATCGAGCTATAGAACAACAAAAGAAAAACGAACAGAAACTATATTATAGAATGTTTAATAAGTAATAACTGTTTTGTCAGATGATTTGTTTGTTTGTTTGTTTGTTTGTTTTTAAATAAAACCAACATATGAAATAAGAAATCATCGGTTTCTTTTCCTTTGTAATACTATGAAAATTCATATCTGTCCCTTTTTTTTTTATAAAACTATACAGATTTCAAAATTGTTTTTACGTATGCAAATATCAGTGATATCTTAAAAAGTCTAATTTCATTAATATCAATCAACAAGAAGAACATGAACTTGATGATATTCAAGTGTAAGTAATATTTCGTAATACATTTACGGCGATGTAATCCATCGATGGGTCACATTATTATGTGTACACTGAGTAGCCAGTCATAAAAACTAAAGATTTTCAGAAAACCTTTTCATCTATTCGACTCCGTGAAACTATCTGCACTGATCATTTCAGTAAAAAAAAGAAAACATTCAACTTTGACGAATAAATGGTGTTGCTTGATAGGTGATAAAGTTTTCTGCCAATCTCTGACTTTCATAACAAATTATCCATAGAAGTATCCAATGATACTGCAAAAAATTTTCAAACTTCTCGTGATTCTATGGTTTTTTTTATCATCCCATAAGTTGTCATTTATACTCATAAATCTTGTTTTCGATGAACTTTTATTGATATAAAATTTTTTTTTTTTACTTTTCTTTCACTTTACCAATGAGTTTCATTCCCTAGAAAAATACTTTTTAGCAATCCTGTACGATTAAACTCCTTCCAATAGGTTATCGACAAACACAACAATCTCTTAAACATGTTTGTATTCAATCAAATAAAAATAAATATAACCAATGTACTTCATCTGGGGCATCTATAAATGAATTGATTCTTATGAACGAAAAATCTCTACCGCCTACATCAATGATTCTGCAAAGAGAAAAATGGTAAAAGCTTGAAAGCAGAAAAACGGTAATCAGATCAAATATTCGATTCTGCCTGTTTATGATCGATTTTGGCTAGAATTAGAAAAATTCAGCCATCGAATTACTAATTCCAAATTCCTCTCATTGTTCGACTGGAGTTTACTGTACTTTATCTACTTGGCTACAATAAATAAATGTACAATATTCCAATTAAAATCTTTCTTTTTTTTCTCTCCAGGATTATTTCTTAAGGAAAAGAAACTATTATGATTCAATCATACTATCTAAATAAATTCCCAACGAAATAAATTTATCGACATTGAAACAAAACAAACATGCTAACATTGAATAAAATATAGAAGAAAAAAACTATCATCATAGATCGAATAAACACTAAAATGATATTCATATCGTTTTTGTTTTTGTTAGTTTAAATAATAATCGTATCAACTGTCCGGATGTCAAACAAGATAATTTGATTTTTGATCAAGAACATAGAACAGCAACTCAATTGTTATCTCTACATTTAATTTGCGGCAAATGTACTTTTTTCCTTAGATAGATATAATCGTATGTTAAGAGTTTAGAAATGTGCATATATCCTTGAATATCAAGATTTCTTATCGAACATAATCATCAACTGAAGTGTATTATTTCAAATGTGTGCGATATCACTTTTTCTCATTTGATCAACTGTTTATTATTGATACAGATTGTGATGTAATGAAACAATTTTTATTTTTACACGATTCATAGCCAATGTGACTGTTATTTTTATTGGACAATCGATCATTTTTTTATAGATGAATATTACTTTTCTTTATTCAATGACAATAACAAAAACTCTTTGTAGTTTATTATCATAAATAATAATGTGACGAATTACACACCTATGTTTTGAAT